GTGTGTGTGTGTGTCCATATATTTCAAGAAGTCCATATATTATATTTACATAAATTGAAAACAATATTCGTTGTTAGAATCTTTATAGTCTACCAGGTGTATAAGCTTAAATCCGCTGTTTGCTCATAGGTGGCATTAGTGAGCGTACAAAGCTACCCTGGGCACATAACACACTTTTTTTTATGTGTTTGACATCTGTCAACATTAACCAGTGCGTATCATCAGCAATTTCATACAACACATAGATTTTTTTCTTTCGTAATCATGTGTAGTTTTTTGCTAAAAAAAAAGCATATGCGGGAAATTTTGCTTTTCTGTTTCAATTTGAAGAAATCGGCTGCCGAATCACATCGAATGTTTGAAGCCTATGGCGACAATGCTTTATCGGAAACAACGTGCAAAAATTGGTTTCGCCGGTTCAATGATGACAATTTTGATCTGAGTGACAAGAAGCGTGAAAATCGGCCCAGGAAGATTGAGGACTGTCAATTGCAGGCTCTTTTGGACGAGGACGGAGGAGGAGTACCCAAACGCAAAAAATGCTTGCCGAGCAATTGGGTGTTTCTCAAGCAGCCATTTCCATGCGGCTACATGCCATGGGGAAGGTTCAAAAGATCGGAAAATGAGTGCCGCATGAATTGAACGATAGGCAAATGGAGCGACGCCAAAACACATGCCAAATTCTGCTTGCCAGACAAAAAAGAAAGTCGTTCCTGCATCGGATTGATAGGCGATGAAAAGTGGATGTATTTTCAGAATCCTAAACGCAAGAAATCTTGGGTTGATCCCGCCCAACCATCAACATCTTCCTCAAGACCAAATCGCTTCGGACGGAAGACGATGCTGCGTTTGATGGGATCAGGAGGGTGTCATCTACTACGAGCTGTAAACCTGGTGAAACTGTTAATGCTCACCGCTACCACCAACAACTGATCAAATTGCACCATGCTCTACGTGAAAAAAGGCCTTATTATCGAAAAAGACATGACAAGCTGATTTTCCTTCACGACAACGTACCATCGCACACGTCAACAATGGTCCAAAACTACTTGAAGACACTCAACTGGGAAGTGTTATCTCATCCCGCTTACTCACCAGACCTGGCACCTTCTAACTATCACCTGTTTTCGTTGACGGACCACGCTGAACGATACTTCGATTCTTACAAAAACGTTCGAAAATGGTTTGATGAGTGGTTTGCCTCGAAAGATGAGGAATTTTTTTGGCGTGGTATACACAAATTGCCCGAAAGATGGGAAAAATGTGTAGTTAGCGAGAGCAAGTACTACTTTGAATAAATTTGTTTTTGCTTCCTAGAAAAAAAAGTGTTTTTCTTAATAAAAAACAACGGATTTAATCTTATGCACCTGGTATATTCTAATAGTAAAATGTTATAGTGAATTCGATCATTCGCTACACTGGATCAGTGCATTAAAAACTGTTTTATATAAAATATCTCAATGCAGTGATACAATATAATCAACTTTGGCTATAAAATGATATATACACATATATTTTAAATAATGTGTCGTTTAAAATTTTTATTTACTTTTATATTTAACTTTACTAATGTTTACTTACTCATATAAAGCAGCTATAGTATGCACTAATGTAGTGCAAGCGAATTAACAATTTGTGCGCAAATTCGATCAAATTTTGATTACAAAATCATAACCATCTGTGTTCGCACTATGGATTTGTCGACAAAGCCTGCTGACATATTTTGTTAAGAGATTGTTGATAAAACCGAGTAAAATCTATTGATATAATCTAATGGTAGATTGACAGCAAAAACCAAGCAGGATCTCATTTTCATTTAAATCGACTTAGTTTATAAGAAATTTTGTGTGTGTGTGTGTGTGTGTGTGTGTGTGTGTGTGTGTGTGTGTGTGTGTGTGTGTGTGTGTGTGTGTGTATAAACGGTTATATATAATTATACATAATTATTTATACATACTGATGTGAAAACTGGAAACAACTACAAACAACAAATGTGAAAATACAATTTTATTACTAAAATAGTTATTATAATTAGTTTCACATTTTAAAAATACACATGAGAAAGTTACAAAATAGTCAAAAAAATATTCGGAGATTCAGAAAGCACGAACAAGCTCCGAAAGAGCTTGAGAATCTCTAGAAGATTTGCCTATTCGATTTACATACGCCAATTCTTATAAAATTCCAAAACGATTTCTTCTTATTAGAAGTTTATCTTATGGCGATGCCGTAAATAAAAATAATAGGAATAATGCTTGATTTTTGCTGCCAATTTGCCATCAGATTATGTCAGCAGGCTCTATTCGGTTTTTATCACTAATTTGCTGACATAGTATGTCAACAGGCTTTGTTATAGTTTTGACAGCAGTTTGCTGACAATGAGTTCAAGACGGCAAAGCGGCTAAGCATACTTATTGAGTGATTGAATATGATTGGTTGGATCTATAAGTAACAATCAATTATGCTTATTTGCTCGGCAAGCAGGCTAGCCGTTTTGTTAACTTGAACGCTCAATATCTGGTACAAACACTGTGCACAATTGCCTTTCTATAATCAGAAATTAGGGCTCTGTTCAAAATCTGTCTCCACAGGCTTTGCTATCAGGAAAATTTATACGTAATATATAAATAGTTACATATAATTATATATAATTATATATTTATATATACTGCTGTGAAAACTGAAAATAATCAATACAGTTTTATTGCTAAAATATTGATTAGCTTCACATTTTAAAATACACATGAGAAAGTTATAAAATAGTCAATAAAATATTCGGAGATTCAGAAAGCACTCCGAAGAAGCTTAAAAGATTTGTCTATTCGATTTATGTCAATTTTTATAGGACTCATAAGTGTTTTTTTCTTCTTATGAGAAGCAAATCTCATAGCGAACTTGTATATGAAAATGAGAAAACTTGCTCAGTTTCTGCTGCCAATCTGCCATCAAGTTATGTTAGCAGGCTCTGCTCAGTTTCTGTTCGCAAAAGCCGCAATCTGTTGTCAAGTTATACAGCAGACAAGTTCGGTTTTTGTCACCAATTTGCTGGCAGTAATATCAGCAGGCTTTGTTATATTTTTGACAGTGATTTGCTGACATTGTCTAATACTCTGTGTACAATTTATCTTTCTGCAATCAAAAATTGGTAGCAGACTCTACTCTAAATCTGTCTCCGTAGGCTTTGCTATCAGGGTATATAAGCTTTTTTATAGCAACCGTAATTCTTTCAGCCTATGAATTTATTAACTAATGCTTCAAATGTTGCGATTGAATTTTCTGTTGGATTGCCTCTTCCCACATTGTTATAATTTATAATTTTATTTTATTAGCTTTCGACATCTCAATTCCATTTCCAGAAATGCCTTCATATTAGGATCTTTTACCTTGTCAAAGATGACTTTTTGCAAATCTATATTGGATTTTTCTATCATGTTACTCAATCTTTCTGTATACTTAATCCATACACAATTCGTGCATCCTGACATACAACAATTAGTCGGTTCCGTCAAATCATCCACTGAAATTTCTTTTGCATCAGTCCGAACTTTGTCATCTTTTTGGATCGATGAATGTCGTCGATAATAACAGAAACTTTTACTAATGATTAATCTTGACCGAAGTATGGAACTCATTTGTTTTGATTCTGTCCAAGATACATGTGCAAAATAGCTATTTTTATAATTAATATTATATTAATAGAAAAAGAATAAATATCACAATGAAAAATAACTTTTGTTCCTTTTGCAAATGAAATAAATTCAAGAAAATCTTATCTAATCTATTGTGAAACAGTAATACTTAAGCCTTAGACACAACGTGAGACAACAGTGATAAGAATAGGAATAACATAGAAATAAAAGGTATATAATTGTTGCCTTTCGTTGCACATTGGCTGCTTCAACGGATTCAACAGTTGAGTGAGCGCTAGCTATTGATATATTCTTCTAAATCTAAAATGTTGAATGGATGATCTAAAAGAATACATCATATAACAGTGAACGCTCACTCAGCTGTTGAGTCCGCTGAATGCAGCCAATGCCGCGGAAGAAATAAAAATGTTAACCAATCTGGGTCGCGGTTCAATTTACAAAGTTTAAAAATAATTTCATTTTTGTTGTTTATCAATTGTTAAACGAAGACAAACGATGCTCATGAGTTGTCAACATGAATGGACTACGTGTCTGATTTCGTATATAAACTATAGTATATTTTAGAGTCACTCTAAGAGTCGAGACATAAAGGTGCCTATCCATGCAGCGGAATAGCGTAATGCGAAACGAGAGCGGAACCAATCACAAGTGTTCCGCACTAATTGCAGTTGATTTCACGTTACGCTATTCCACTGCACAAGTAAACATCCTAAGTGCCTCTTCATGATTGCTGCATGTTTCAATTTGTTAATAGTTAATGAATTAGTAGTAAGTTAATAGTAAGTGAATAGCTGAAAGCAATTTTTATAGGTGTAGTACATTCATCGACTAAAAGATTGCAACAGACTTTTTTCTACGGTTTTTGAAATGCAACCTACTCATCGAGCAATTGGTTTTTACCAACGACATATATACCTAGACTAAGTATTCCCATGCTTTTTAGTAGTGAGGGTGAGTTGAAGCCAGAAATTGACAGTTTAGGTGGAGCCATATTATCTCTTTTGCACTATATTCTTTTCAACTAATCTTTTTGCACCATTTATTTACACTTTTTGCGAGTGTATGGCAATTGCCCACGATCCAATTGCGCACAAACCAATCACAGCGCTAAAAAAAATAACCCAAAATACTGCCTATGTAGAAGTCGCTGTGATTGGCAGTGGGCAATTGTTACAGTGCGCAATTGAACTGCTCCCATTTTCTGCGACTAGTGCTGCCAAGAACACATAACTTTTTTCATATATATTATTTATAAATACAACATATTTTCTTCATGTTTGTGTTTCTCTCTTCGTATTGTACTTTAAATCAACGGAATCAATAATATATATGAAAGTTAAACTTATAAACGATAAATATAATAAAAAATGGTATTCTGTAATTTATTATAACGATAGATGTCGTTAAAAGTTTCAATAAAAGACCGAATTTTATGGTAACATAGGAGTACAAGATTCCTCGATAAACAATAGCGACATTTGTAATTTAAATTTGTAATTTAAATTTGATTTGTAATTTAAATAAACATCATACATATTAAATATTTAGAAGAGCATGCAAAAAATATTACAGCAAAATATTTTAATTAAAAGTAATGTATTATAAATGTTATAATATTTGAAAGTATAAAATAAACAAATAATAAATTTAGGTTATGTTCTATATAAATTTTTCTTTATACGCAATGTAAATGAAATATGCATAATAATATTATTAAGATTTCTTCTTACTTTTAAGATGAAATGGCTGAAAATATTTAGAATGGAATATATTATTTTTACAAGAATGCGGAGACTTGAAAGAAGAGAGAAGATTTTTACGCGATGAGCAAAATCCATTTGAACTTTACAACAAGAATTTATTGCATAGACTAAATCAAGAATTTATTGCACAGACTAAATCAATTTTGATCATTGTAAATTCTTAATAATTTAAGACAAAATTGAAAAAAAAACAATGTATAACTGGCTTGTTTCCGGAAATTCAGGTTTTGGTTACAATTGGTTTTTTTGCTCATGGTTCTTATCAAAGACTAGAAACCAATGCAAATTAGTAATAGCCAACTGCTAGCCGTTACATATGTAAAGTGGCACAATTAATAAATATACATTTATTACGTCAATGGATAAAATTTCCCATGACATGATTCCATATGAAAAGACTATTGCATAGAACAAATTTGCACTAGCTGCACAGTTATTTCCTGGAGCTGTTGGAGCTATTGATTGTATGTACATAAACATTCTTGCACCACATATTCATGAAGAAATATATGTTAATCACCATGGTAATTATTCTTTGAATGTTCAAGCAGTAAGTATAATAAAAATGTTCTATGTTTTATATCAAATTGGTTCCAACTTTAGTTCAAAGTCAACTTTGAAGTCAAAACACAAGACTGTCAAAACAAAAAATTCAATATAGGCAAGAATTTGGGATAAAATTAATATATATCTGAGCAATGCATATCAATATTTTACAATCCCTGAAATCTTATTCATATTGATTTTTTGTGGGACTTTGTGTTTCGTCTATAGCTAAAGTTGAACAGATACGTTTTATTCATTAGCTAATTTTGAACTTTGCAAATATATTAACAATGTGTGTGTGTGTGTGTGTGTGTGTGTGTGTGTATAAAGTTATGGAAAGTATCCTGTTAATTCTAATATTTTTACAGATAGTCGATCCAGAAAATATTAAATATGAATAAATATGAAAATATTAAATATAAATGCACGATATCCAGGTGCAAGAAATGATGCATATTGGCTTCTTCAATTAAACGTCATGGAGCTTTAACCAAGTATAACTAAGGGAAAGGAAAATTTATTTAATTGATAAATTAATTGAATGTTGATTACGTAGGTAAACTTTTCAACTTTTATTGTGCAATTAATTATACACAGTAAAAATATTTATATTTCCATCAAAAGCAATATTCTTTATAGGAATGTCATCACTGAGAAAGATTTTTCACTTTCAATAGTTTTCTCCAAAAAGATTTAAATATTTAGTAAATTTGTAACATGAAATAAACTGTCATAGTTTGTTGTTTTTAGCTGATCTAATTCTTGCACCGTTCATCTCTTCTCTTTTTTTCTCTGAAAAGAAATGAGGAAAAAAATGATGAAAAGAAAAAAAGAAAAGAAACCGGAAAAAACCGGAAAAAAGGAATAAACTATGTAAAAAGTTCAGATAAGAACAGACTTAAGATCTTATGTCCGGAAAATTAAATCACATAATTGTATATATATATGTATTTACAGAAGATGCTGGATATCCATTAGAGCCATGGTTAATGACACTGTGTGGCAAATTATTCTCAGTGGAGTCGCTATCATTATAATCAGAAATTATATAAAGCGGAGTATCATTGAAAGATTATTTGGAATTTTAAAGGGAACATGGAGATGTTTATCTTACTAATGTATATTGATATATGCTCCAGATATTTGCGGATTAATTGTAAATGCATGTGTAGTTTTACATAATATACGTGTACACTATCGACTCTCCCCCTGGATAGAAGAAAATGTAATCTTTGGTAACGCACAAATGCAAATGAAGCAAATGATGTTTGAAGAAGAAGAAGAAGAATAAGATATAGGGGCCTAGAGCAATAGCGTATACAGAAGCAAATTATGCGAGATTGGTTTCCCAATTACCAATGCATAGGAGAATGAGTAATTCTAGATGAAAATAATTTGAGTTTATTATATTGATAAATATAAACGTTTGATTTGTATGATAAAATATTTTGTATTATAAAATATTTTTATTATAAAATATTATAAAATGTATAAAATAATAATGAAAAAGAATTAAATTTATATATCCTTGAATTTATGTACCGTTGTTTTTCAAACATTCAAATATGATTTCTAATAACTGTGTTTATCGTTCTTCATTCTTTGCCATTCTATCTGTAGTTTCGCTTATTCGCAATAATGCTTCGGCTTGCGAATAATTTCATAGCCTCAGCTAGCATCTATAAACATATAATATTATTAAACTAAAGTATAATATAATATAATTATAATAATTAGTAATAAGCTTATCAATAAGAAGTTAGAGTTTTTAATATGCTTAATATTTTTGTGTGATTTTTAAGTTCAAACTATATGCCGAACAAATTTTCGATTTTGTGAGTTCTTCATGGTGTAAACTGAACGAAAGTAATATTACAATATTAAATGAATAATAAATTCAATGATTAGCAATTTATTATTATAATATTTCTAGTTCAATTTAGAGGTGTGTTAAGTGAAAATGTACTCGGCACACTAGTTTGATGAACTTGAAAATATATAAAATTACAAAGAATATTAAGCACTATGTTCCAGCTCTGATAAAACAAGGCTTATTACCAAGTTAGTTGTGTATACATAAATTGGTCAAAATTTTCTTATTATTAAAATTAAAATATTCTTAAGATAAATTGACAATAAGACTAATCATTATTGCTTCAACATGTTTGTCTGCTATTGCCCCAAAAAATTCTCGAGCATCATATAATTGTACTCCTAAACGTTCTGCCTATCTGCAAATATGTACAAAAAAATACAAAAATTTATTTTAAATCGGAAATATACACATTTATTATTCTATTTAGAATTTTAGTGTTATAGGTATTCATAGTCAGTTCTTACTTCACGATTATCTTAAGTAATGTCTTAAGACATTAATACAGCTCTCTGATTGATTCGTGACATCTTAAGACTATACTTAAGACGGTCTTAAATATAAGAATCGACTATGAATACTGGCCGTATTTATGTTTTCTGTACTCGGCCTAATTTGTGTTATATTTGCGTAAAAAAGTATTAATATTTAGAATATATAGTAAAGTTTAACAATACCTAATTTACACCACGTACTTGATATGCGTAATAATGCGCAGTTTCATCAATGATAATTTAACTTAATATTAAATTATCATTAACCTTCCAAGTAAAAAATGATAATGGAATCAATATTGAGTCAATGTCGATTCGACGTCAATTTCATTGTTATTTTTCACTGGGTTTGTTACACAGCATGTTTAATTGGGTTTAATAACATCCGTGGTTATAAAATTGACCAATCATAGCTGTTCCTCAGAAGAATGGAATGACCATGATTGGTAATTTTATAACTACGGATATTATTAAACTTGATTGAGGGTATTATGTAAATGTAGTCATTATGGTGGAATCAGGCATTAGTATTAAGTGCTCGGTGTAAACTAGAGTAAAGAAACAAACTTTAATTTTAAGCTAACATCTTGTACTTTGTATTTATAATGACATACATAGAACATCTATTATGTTTTGTTCAATGAAATTTTTTTCAGTCAATTCACTTCATTGTTCAATTTACTTTCATTTGTAACAGTCGAAAAATAAAATTATATATTTCTTTATAAAATAGAGTATTGATAATACATACCTATGTCTTCTAATTCTTGGGATAATTGGAGCTGGTGTTTCGTTTAAAATATTTTCATTTTTTGCTGTCAATTCTTCAATGACATTCTATGAGCGCATAATACATGTTATTTTATACAATTGAATGAATGTACAGATATAAAATGAATCCAAAAAAAGAGGACAATGATATACTTTTACTTACATCACGTTCTTTGGAAAAACTGTCAGGTACATCGATATACCTTGTACATATTCGTGTTCAATTATTCCTAGAATTCTTTTTTCTAAATCAGATAAATTTATATTAACAGAATTATTTCCTGTTGCTGTTTTTCCCTTTTTTAATTTTTGTATTATTTTTATCTTTACATATAAGATCTGGCTATGTTTGTAAAAAAATAAAAATATTATTAAATGTTGAAGAAGTATATTTAATAAATGTATTAATAACTTTAAAAATAAGTTTTACGATCAATAACAGAAAGAATACAAGAGGAATAAAGCCTTAGTAGTAGTAATATTTGTTGAATATTGATGTTCAAGATGTTTGACAATAAGGGAAAAATTAGAAAAAAACTTTGCAAAGAGTTTAAGTGTATGTAAATGATAAAATAAAACGAAAATTAATAACAAAAATTAAAACAAACAAAATTTATAACAAAATTGCGGCTTGGATTTGTAATAAATGTTTAAATGTTCACATAAAAAATATATGAAATATATATGTTTTAATTATAATTTTATTTTTAATTCTTGTTTAATTATCTAGAATTACTCTTTTTTTGCACCTGTTGTCAAGCATCCTGTATTATATACTATATACTTACAGTCTTCCATGATTTTACATCTTTTTCTTTGTCTTTAGATCCTAATGAATTTAAGAAAGTAAAATCTTCCCAACTTCCTTATAATTGTATGTTATTGTTTATTGTTATAAATTTACCAGCTACATGAGGATATTGTTCTAAATAAGTTATTAGAGCTTCAATTTGTCATTGAGTGGCTCTTCCCTGTCGACTTCTTCCAGTTTCTCTAAAAGAAGTGCTAACATTATAGGCTAAATTTGAGAAAAACAAGTAATATGATTAGAAAACAGTTTCAAAAAATTAATTTTTATTGAAGGAACTCTGTGTCCTTTACATCAAATGATTCATCTTATTCTATGCATAAAAATATTAAGGAATTAAGATAATTATCAAAAAATTAATAGTTTAAAAGATATTTCATATTTCAAGTTCAAATATGTTAGAATAAAGTATGAAATATCTGCACAATTGATTTTTTTATAACTCTATCTTAATAATTTTATATGCAAAATAATTAGCAAAATCATTAATTTCATTATAAAAAACAAAGATAACTTTGGACTTTATATAAACTTTACCGGCAAAAACGAGTTTAATGTAAATAAATAGTAAATTTCATACATTTACTAATTTTTTCATATATAATTTAAGTTGTTAAGTTATACTTTTTGTTTATACATATATATTTATCTTGTGACATTGTGTATATTACAAGCTTTTTTTGATAATTATACAATAGATTTGCAGCTTAAAAATCAATAAAATTAGGCTTATTCAATGCGTTTTTACATGAAACGAAAGATTGACAGAAATAATTGTCATTCCCCGCGAACTGAGATATTAAGCGTTAAACTTAACGATTTATGGTTAGGAATATTTCTTCTATTTTTTTTTCACTTTACTGTTATCACTTAAAATATTCTAACTTTATTTAATATTCCTAAACTCAGCAAGAAATATAGGAGATTTCATTGACTGGATACTACGATGACAGAGTTATATGAAACTAAGTATACTCGTTTTGATAACGATGTCGAAATAAGACTATAAACGTGAATATTCATATATCCGCCATTTACTCCTTTCTTCTCCTTGCTCTGTTCCCACTCTACCGCTGAGCTGAAAAGGTTATAGTCGTTATGGTTGTTATAGATTGTAGTTTCAAAGTTGTTGGAAACCTTATAGCTTCGTATTTTTGTATTTCCACACTTCGAAATTTTACCATAAGACTAAGAGACGAAAAGAAAGAAAAAACTGAAATATTATTAACTGAAATATTTAAAAAATTGAAATATATATTGACGAAAGCAAAACGTTACGTGGATCCACAAATAAGAACCAATCGCTCAGTGAGTAAGCATTCAGAAACACATAAAAAAGAAAGTATTGCAACCTTTCTGTGACTACATACACACAATACTAATGCGGTACAATCATAGAACTTACAGTAATGGAAGAGGAATAGCCTGTCCAATCAAGTGAGCAAGACTGAGAGACAGAAGATGTATATTTTTGTCCTGCTCAATAACTTTTCTTCTTTTTGCGCATATGCCAATGAGAGGATAGAAAAGGATAAAAAAATATTTCTATCCTGCTCAGTAACTTTTTTTCTTTCTGCGCATGTGTCAATAAGAGAATAGAACAGAATAGAAAGATATTTCTTTAGTGCTTTCTTGTTCACAGCTCGACATCTGTATTCCTCTTTCATTATTATAAATTCTATGGGTACAATATCTGTGTGTGCAGCATCTTATGTTCATCGCTCTTCTACAATATCTTCTACTTAATCTAACAAAGCTTCCGGCTGAATCTGCTCCAGATTCCCTTGATTCTCTCTGGTTATCTCAGTTTCTGTTTCTTTCTATTCGCTCATGCATTCATAGGTGATTCCCCTACTTTATATATACAACCTCTTTGGTCGAAATTATGGTGAAAGAGACATAGTTTGCAAGCATCTCTTTTTAAATCTCCACCGTCTCTTTCTATGAATATCGCGTCAGGAAAAAAGCTTGCCAACTGCAAGCTAAACATGGGGTGATATTCATAGTCCGTTTTAAAACTGTCTTAAATAATGTTTTAAGATGCAAATACAGTCTTCGGATTAACTTATGACATCTTAAGACTGTACTTAAGATAATCTTAAATGTAAGAATCGACTATGAATATCGACCTGCTTTGCATGAAATTGGTACTTTCCTTCTATAAAAAGAGAAACATAAAGTGTATTCTCTTTCAACAAAATTTCCTCAAATTGAACTCAATCCAACTTTTGCCGCGCGGCAGAAATAATATTATTAGAGCATTAGAAATGTAGATATTCGCATCTATTTTTATTCTTTTTCCCACTCCTTGCTTTGTCCTCATTCTACTGAGTTGTGACGGGTTATGATTTGTATTTGCTTGAAATTTTGTAGCTTCTTTCATTCATTTTTGCTTTCAAAATCATATTTATCGTAATATTAGTGCAGGACCTGAAGATGTCTGGCATTCAGGTTATTTCTAGATAAGGTGCCAAATATGTATGTCAATTTGAAAAAAAGGATTGAAATTTCTCATCTGCGAGGAAGTGTAGTGATATTCACAAGTCATGTATTTATTTTACAGCCATATAACAAGTTGTCGACGAATATTATCCGCAGGAAATTTAAATAATTGAATTATCTTTTTCTGATCTATCGATACAGTTTATCGCAACGCAACAAGGCATTTTATAAATTTGTTTGCCTTCGTTAATATATAATATTTCAGTTTTTTTATATTCTTCTTTTCGTCTCTTAGTCTTCTGTGAAATTTCGAAGTGAGGAAATACAAAAATACAAAGCTATAAGTTTTCAATAGCTTAGAAGTTATAACCTATAACAATCATAATGATCTTCAGCAAGAAGAACAGAGCAAGGAGTAGGAAAAGGAGTAAAAAGGGTGGATATGCGAATAGTTTATAGTGCATCTCACGTTTATACTGCTTCAGTACATCTCTAGGAGATATTCGTATTCATTAATATTCGTATTCATAATCAGTCCTTATATTTAAGGCTTCCTTAAATTTATCTTTACATACTCTACGAATTATTTCATTGGTTACTGAGCATTTAAAAATAAATTTAAGGAAGTAAATTTTAAGTACAAGATCTGAATACGGGCATATGACTCCTGCACACAGAACGCGACAACGCTTGCCGAGCAGCGGAAATTATCGTACTAACCAATAGTTCTATGTTCTTAAGTCGGCTTTACTATGCAAAACTTTTAGAAATGATGTAATACTACTTCCGCTGCGACAAAAGTTGGATTGAATTCAATTTTTGTGGCGCGGCGGAAATTATATATTTATTATTATTTTCGAGCAAGCGAGACGTTGATTGGCTATCGCGCCAATTTCCGCCACATGGCAAGCATTGCCGCGTTCTGTGTGCGGGAGTCATTACATAACGCATAAGAAAATGTATCAATCAAAATCCTTCGTTTTCTTCCTTTGAAATAAACTCTGATTAGATTTCTTATGTCTTATATGTTATGCAAGAGTCTGTGCTTCCTGCTTAATGCTTATCGCTGTTATATCGTATTATATCTAGAGTTAGAACGTCAGGGTATCAATCATGAAACTTTATCCCTAGGATGGAAAGTGAAAAATAAAAATTTTTACCATTGAAATTAATGGAGAAAATTTTCACTGCCCATTCTAGAGATAAAGAAATTTCATGATTCATAGACCCAAAACTATAAACAATATACATAAGGTGCTTTTCAGCAAAAGACACAAAGATGACAGTGTAATGGCTCAGGCTCTTCAGGTATCCTATTCTGTAACTCATTAAGGGTGATATTTCATTTATACATTTTTGGCTATCCACCTGATGCTACAAATGTTTCGAAACATTTTTTGATTAGTTAATTAATAAAATTCTTTCTTCCAATTGATCAATCAAACGCTTCGAAACATTTAATGTCAAGTGGACCGCATCCTTTGTCGTACATAAAATTTTTCAAGCCTGTTGATTGGCTATTGGCTATAAAGAGATCCGAGAACCTTTATTCTGTACACATTTGTTGTACGACAAAAACGTACAAATGAAATAGCAATATCAATCCTAATGCCCGTATCAGATTACAGATTGACGATTACGATTGATGATTATTTGGTTCTATTTTAACCAATTATGGCCTTGCTATGTTGTGATTGATTGAAGTAGAACCGAGCAACCGTCAATCCATAGTCTGATACAGGCATAAGACAGTGATTATGATGTAAGAATACAAGAAGCGGAATTCATAGATATTGCTGAAGATTCGAGATGGTCTAAGCTAGTGCATGAACCAATCAGAGAGCTATATTAGCATCTAAGATGATATGATATTGACTGTATTTAGCAGAAAAAGTAGTTTTTCAAATGTTGTTAAAATTCTTGAATATGATTGGTTTATACATTCAGATCAGTGAGGAATTAACAGCAAGACTAATTATATTAAATAATTTTACAACAGTTGTAAAACTGCTTTTTTTGCTAAACGCAGCCATTGCTTGAAAGTGCTTTTTTATGCTGATGCTCGACGCTCATTTTATGCGTCAAATCAGGTCACGTGATTAAAATTGATGCTTTGTATTTATCAATTTTAATCGCATGACTTGTTTTGACGCATAAAATGAGCGTCGAGCGTCAACATGAAAAAGCACCTTAAGATTAAGAACAGACTATGGATTCCTATGTACTACAGTCAGAAGCAATGAGATGCGATACTTTCTTTTATGAGTTTAAGAATACGCGATTAAAGATGCGAATCCCTCTTATGTGCAATGAGAGCGGTTCAATTGCACTGTAGCAATTGTCCACTATCAATCATAATGACTTCTGCGTAGGGAATTTTAGGTTAGTTTTTTTAGCGCTGTGATTGGCTTGTGCGCAATTGGATCGAGGGCAATTGCCATATACTCTAAGTGCAATGAATGAATATGACCGTATGAGGTTTATCAAATGTCTATACATTGTGTAGCATAAACTTAAATGTTACGTGTTGCGCGAAATTCATGAAATGATGTCAGTAGAGCACATTGTAAGTAAGTAGAGCATATAGGCGGGTTTTAACTCGGGTTCTCTGAGGGATAAGGGGCAGGGGAGTATCCGCGACGTGGGAGATCCGCGGGGAGGAGAGGAGGTGACGTCATAATGCACACATCATTGGGCAAGGGGAATGACATCACGGAGGTTTGCGGGAAATGACGTCACAGTAAGTAATGTCGCGGGAGACGACATTGCGCTGCGGGGGAGGAGGAGGATGTCCCGGGTGCAGGAAATTATGTAACGCGGAAAATTACATCCGCGTTGCGGTGATGACGTCACACGGGGTCAATGGTCGCCGAGCGCGATCCGCCCATCGGTCCTCGT